AGAAGTCTTACATAACTTGCCCAATTATTTAAAAATCAACTGCAGAAAATGAATATTTTGATGTGTGTCATCCAATAAAGATAATTTCACAAGATTATTCATGTTTGGGGCTGGGAATTTAGCTCAGCAGCATAAGCGCCTGCCTTGCAAGCAGGCAGTCGTGAGTTCGATCCCTGGTACCGATAAAAATAAAAAAGACCAAAAAAAAAAAAAGATTATTCATGTTTTCTTAGATGCATGTGTATGGAGTATTTGTTAGCTGAATAAGTCATAAATTTTTCTTGAGAAATCTGTAATTTATGTATAGGCCAAAGTGGAAGCATGTTCACAATGAGAGGAAGCTACACTGTCTCACTTCAGGTCTTGACCAGTAGAAAGATTAAACTAGTAAATTATTTTTCTTCTTTAAGCCTCAGATTTTTTCATATATAAAATAGCAATAATGTAAATTTCATGGGCTTCTGGGTTTTAAATTTGGTAATTCATTACATTAGAAATATTATACTGTGTTGCTTAAATTGTTCTGATCTGCTTTGTTGTGTCCTTTTATCTTAAACCTCTTTAAAATAAAAAAATTTAAAAAATATTTATCCAATTTCTTTTACAAGGTTACAGAATGTAAAATCAATGACAGGATGATGTAATGAAATAATTTTGTAATGTTGCATAAAATAAAAATCCACAATGATTTTCAGGTTCAAATTCATAAACATCAACTGGCAGTTTAGTACATACCAATCCTACCTGGTAGCTCTGCTTTTCTATTCCCCCACAGTGAATATATATTGTTCCCTTTCTCAGTACATCTCTTGATAGCTCCCTCCCATTTCCTTGCCTCATGTTCCAGTTAGAAAGTTGAACCCATCATAAATAAAGGAGTTGAACCAGTCCCCCAACACATGTCTATCATGTTCTCTGTTTCTTCTGATGGACTGTCTCTTGTATCAGAGACCATATGGCATGTGGAAAACCAAACATGAATAATCACCTCTCTTTCCTCATCCTCAGCCTGCCTACTGTTGGATCATTCCTGCTGATCTAAAATACATACTGGTAACGCCTATCTTAAACAGAAAATATTCCCCCATGTACCCACATATTACTGCCAGTTCCCCTATTCTGCTTGAGTGCTCATACACAGTTTGCATTTCTTCATTAAAATTTTAAAAATTTTTATTTGTACATCTTTACAGTACCCAATAATTACATTCATTGTAGGAAATTTGTAGGTGAACATAACACACCTCAGTTCTTTTTTTCCTCTTCCCTTCTACCCTCTTTTTGGCCAGCATCATACTCATTTATCTATCTTACAAATCCTTGTAAAGTTATACACATAGATTAACAACCAGACTAATAGACCAAAAATGTATAAAACACATAAGACAATTACACTAAACCTGAGTACATATTCAGATACATTTTCATGTTGGATTTTGATAACTTTTTTCTCTAGCTTCTCATATTGTCTTTCTTTGTACTTTATATAACATTTCTTATATAAGAGAGACCATGTGATATTTAAGTTTCTATGTTTGACATACATTTAACACTATGGTCTCACAACGCTTTAATTTTTCTACAAATGGCTTCTTTATCCTTCTGAATGGTAGACTATTACTCCATTGTGTATAAATACCACATTTTCTGTATCTTTTGATGGCCATACGAGTTGCTTCCGAGATCTGGCTATTATCAGTCGTGTTGCTTTAAGAATAGGTATGCCTACATCACTGTTGTATGACTCTCTGGGGAAGATATCCAGAAGGTGAGTAACTAGGTCAAATGGAAGTTCTGTTTTTAGTTTCTTGACAGAGCTCCGTACTAGTTTCCAGCTGGCTCCAAGGCAAAGTGGTATGGCACAGAGGCATCAGTTTAAGAGGGCAAAAGACAGCACAGCACAATCAACAACAAGCTGACATTTCAACAATGAAGATTTCCTTTTCCCCACAACCTTACCAACATTTGTTATTAGTTGAGTTCTTGATAATAACCATTCTTTCTGGAGTGATACAAAATCTGAGTGTTGTTTTAATTTCATTTCTTGAAAGGCCAGTAATATTGGCCATTTTTACAAGTATTGTAGGCCACTTTTATTTCTTCTTTAGAGAAGTGTTTATTCATGTTAGATGCTCATTTTTTAATTGGATCTTTAAGTTCGAGGGGTCTATTTTTTTTTTACTTCTTTAATATTCTAGATCAGTATTAGTCCTTTGTCTGAAAAATAGCTGTTAAAAATGTTTTCCCATTACATAGATATTCTCTTCACTCTGTTGGTGGTTTCATTTGCTGTGCAGAAGCTTTCTAATTTAATGTGATCTCATTTGTGGATTCTTGGTATTATTTGCTGTGCAACTGGGGGTTCTTTTTCTGTTCAGAAAGTCTTTCCCTACACCTCTCGTCAAGTGTTTCACCTTTTATTAGCACATTAAGTTTGTGTTCTAGTGTTTAGATATTTGATCCATTTTGATTTTAGTTTACTACATGGTGAGAGATATGGGTCTAGTTTTAATCTTTGAATGTGGAAAACTGATTTTCCATTTATTAAAGAAACTTATCTTTGAGTGAAAAACAAAAAGGAAAACTGACCCAAGAAATTGTGCTTTTAAAAACTTTGTTCTTTTATACCTGCCTAGCTCTGTAACTGTTTCATGGCTTTATAATTACTCTCTTGACTCCTGTAAGCATGAAAGTATAACCAAATATACAGAATGGCTGATTGTACCAGGCTTCATAAATCATTAATCTACCCTTTTATCCAATGATCTCATCCTCCTAGCTAATCAAAAGAGCTTCCAGATTGTTCTGTCTTGCCTTTATGCCTCCTACTTATACATCATATAAAAGCCTTAGACACCAGAGATTGGTATCTCATATTCTGGGAATAATTCCATTATATACCTATCAACATAAATAAATCTGCCTCCAAATCCTGGTGTCATTTCAGAGTTTCTGCTTGCCATTGCAAAAGAATTTGGTCCTTTTGTTAAAGAGATAGCTAAGTGTTCCTGGAGTTGTTTCTACATCCTTTGTTCTGTTCCATTGATACAAGTCAGTTGTTTGCCCATACCATGCTATTTTTATCCCTGTAGCTTTGTAATATAACTTGTATGATCACTTAAGTACTTGTATCTTTTTGCTGAGACAAAATACTCAACACTCAAAGAGCGAAAGTTTTATTTAGCTCCCAGTTTGTGGAGGTTTCAGTTCATAATCAGCTGGCTCCAAGGCAAAGTGGTATGGCACAGAGGCAGCAGTTTAAGAGGGCAGAAGACAGCACAGCACAATCAACAATAGCAAAAGGGGGAAAGAGCAAGGCTCTTTTCCCCCTTTCTGTTATAAGTAGCCTACCTACCCCCAGAGGGTGGGTGTAGCACTCACACCATCTCCATGCCATCCTCTTGCACAGAATGAGAATGTTTACCAAAGGAGGATCATTGCTGAGTTCCTCAGACTTCTCAACCCCTTGTTAACTTGGAAACCAGACACATTTCTTTAACTTGGTCTCCAGGTACAAAAACGTACTTATTCTTATCATTTCATGACTTGAAAATTATAACACAGTTTAACAACCCTTAAGTACCCTAGAACCATAACATTAAACCCTAGCCCCCCAAAGACTCATGCACATCCCTTTATGCAAAAAGCATTTAATCCATCTGCAAGAGTTGCCACAGTCATAACAGTTTCAGCATTGCTGAAAAGTCCAAGTTCCACGTTTCCTCCAAGATGTAAGGCAATCCCCTGCACAAATGAAAAGTTAAACACTTCCAACATTCAGTGGCACAAGATAAACATTTTCATTCCAAAAGTTACAAATGGGGGTACAAAGGATTGGGACCAAAGTAAGTTTAGAATCCAGCAGGGCAAACAGTAAGTCCTGTAGCTCCATGTATACCAGCCAAGGCAATCTGTGACAAGCTGTGAGCTCCAAAGAGCTTGAGTGGCTCTATCCCTATGGCACATCCAGTAATTATAGCTCTCATGCCTTCTTTTGGGCTGGATTTACCCCATCATTTAAGATTTTCTCAGATGACCCATGTTTCTAGCTTTTCAAAACATTTGAGGTCTCCTTTGCTTTACACATTGCTCTCAATGCACACTGTCTGACCTCCTAGGCCTTCTGAAACTGAGGTAGAAACTGCCTTAAACCTGTAACTCTTGCATTCTTCATGCACCTAAAACTAGTACCATGTAGATTCTGCCAGGGTCTGCTGCCATTAGGAGTAGTAGCTAGGCTTTCTTCTCTCTTGGCTACAGGAGTCGAGTGCCCTTTCTGAGGAACAAATTTTCTATGCTGATTCTGTTACAGCTCATAAAAGTTTTTTATAGCTCCTAGAAGCTATTTAAAGCTCTTAGAAGTTATTTACAGCTTTATTCACACTGTGGGTTTGGCAAGGATCAAGAGCCAAGCCCCAAGTCTCAAGGAACAGGATTTTCATGGGATTTACCACCAAGCAGGAGGTAGAAGAACAGAGTGTTCACTATTAGTTGATTGGACAGAAAGTTACACTGAATTTCATCTGCTTTGCATACACAAAAATGAACAAGAGGTTACATCATTCTAGGGAAAGCAGAAACTTAACAGAAAACAAAACATTTACTAAAGGAGAGGAAAAAAGGTGCTGAAGGACAGGGCTCCTGTCTGGGAGCTAGTGTTTTCCTGCTTGACTGCCATTCTGGAACAGGGCGCTTTGCAGATTTCTCCTCAGAGCAAAGTCTTTCACTTTTTGAGGCTGCAAAGGGTGGACATTTGCTATTTCTTGTGATGCCTTCAGTCCATGTTTTCTATTTTCCTGCTCCTTCTCAGAAATGGAGAGCTCCTCTGCTCTGTCTTTGCAGTTCACAGCTTTGTTGGAGCTACCTTTCTGACCACAACATTTTGAATTATCTTTCTGGGTTCATTGGTCTTCATTCTCAATGTAGATCTAGCTAAAAGGCCCCAACAATAGCCATTGTCGATGTCCGCTCCCGGCCGGCAGGAAGGACACACGACAAAGTCTGGTAGTGGACAACCTTTTCTTTTTATTTTCCTTCTCCGTACAGCCTGCCCTGGGTTCTCCCAGCTGAAGCCTCCTCTGGTCCGCTCCCCGCGGCTCCTTTTGTGCTTCAGTCTGCCCCAAAGCCTCTACCGGTCCGCTCTCCGCGGCTCCTTTTGGGCTTTTACTTCTGGGCTTCTACCTGGCTTCTTCTTCCGCCCAGGGGTGGCACCGGTATATATACGGGTACAGTGTCCAATCATGTTAAAGTAAGCAAGGCAAGCTGATTGGCTAACATCATCAGTTGCCAGGCAGACTATATTGTTGAGCGGGTTGTTTACGCGGTAAGCAGGAAACTAACATATTCGATGGGAGGGGTAATCTACCTCAGGCTTTGCTCTTTACCACAGGCCGCACGTCCGCCGCGCAAGGCGAGCTATCACAGACGCGGCTCCCAACATCTCCCCCTATTTTATTTTTTATGAATGTGCGCATCGTAGCCCTTCCTGGACTGGGTGCAGAGGCTTATGCCCTATGTGTAGGCCCACCGTAGGTCCTTGGCTTAGACCCTGGTTGGCCATGCCATGGTCTGCCAAGGCCCTGAGGCCCTCGTCCTTTTTCTAGGGCCAGGCACAAACTGGACGGAACCTGGATGCACACAAGCTTGCACTCATTTCCTCTCCGTAAAGAAATCCCCTCGGAGAGAAATTTAGACCTGGGCAGCATCTAACAGTCCAGCGGCTTACGTGCAGGATGGGGTAGGGCCTGGCTTAGGTCGAGTCGTGCTGGGGAGGCACGCTCTTACCCGTCATTGACTCACCTACCCTGCTGTGTATTGTCACCTTATGGAGGAGAATGAGGGATGCCCGCCATATCTAGACTCGGTCGTGGGCCAATTGAGCAAGCCATGCATATGCCTGAGGATCTTCTTGTCCATTTCGGGCTACCGCTATTTCTATTCATCTTATTGGTTGGTCTGTGATGGATCTCCAGTAGGGCAGGTCTGATCTTCAGTCGAGGGCTTTGTTGCCCGTGTCAGTCTCTCCGGTATCCACAGTGGTTCTCGTCCCGGTTCCTGTGGGAAAACACAAACCGCGCCTCGGTTCCAGCTGACTACCGGATCCGGGCCCATCCATTGTCATGCCATAGATAACCGCGCCTTTGGAGGCAGGCCTTGGCTTACTCCCCCTTTTTGTTTTTTATTTTTTATTTTTTATTTTTATCTTTTTCGTTTTTTTTTTTTTTTTTTTTTTTTTTTTTATTGGTACCAGGGATCGAACTGGCGATTGCCTGCTTACAAGGCAGGCGCTTATGCCGCTAAGCTAAATTCCCAGCCCCTATTTCCTCGACCGGCGTTTTTCTCAGCCTGCTCGGCAGAGAACTCTGTGTACCAGGCTTGCCAATCCAGGTAACTGCCCGAGGGCAGACACGCCTTTGCCAGCTGAATCCAGTCCGCGGGGGTGAGGGGCCCAGAAGACAGATTCTCCAGCATGGCAATGGTGTAAGGCGCAGTCGGCCCAAAGGTTGTAACTGCATTTTTAAGTTCTCTAATCTGCTTTATCTCAAAAGGCTCCCATACATTGCGTCCCTGGCCCATAGCTACTTGTACAGGAAATATCCCGTAGGGGCCACTATCTATCCCAGGTGGATGTACCTCATGAGACAAGCGTCCCCCCTGCCAAAGCCGCCTGTAAAAATACCGACCCGCCGGCGGCGGAGCATAAGACAGCGGCCGTGATTGGGCGGAAAATGGGGGCCCGTGCATCACTTCCTGTTCTGGCGAAAGGGGAGAGAGCTCCCAGGCGGCCGCCTCGTGGCGAGGAATCGCCTCCGGAAACGGCCCCCAAGGTGGGGCGGAAGGCTTCGCCTCCCTCTCGCGCCGGGGAGCGCTCAGGAGCTCTCTACTCCTCCGCAGACCAGGTTGAGCAGAGCGCAATTCGCGGGGCAACGCTGGAAAAGAACCCTGCGACTCCTTATTGAGCGACTTAGGCTCCTGACAGCTGGTCTCTTTGGCCTCCTTGCCATTCAACTTTCCCTCGTCCTCGGAGTCAGACGACTCCGAGGCTAGAGCCCCGTCCTCCTCCTTAGCATCCTTGTTCCCCTTGACGGACCCCTCTCGGGAGCTCCCTGACTGGGCCTGCTCAGATACCCTGCGTACTTTTGTAAGCTCTTGAGAGCTTTCTTCACAACCACCCTCGCTCTTAGTGTTGCTACCTAACATGTTTCCCATCTTTTAATATGTTACTCACCGCGTGAGGCCCAAGGAATCCGCCACTTACGCGTGAGCCTGAGGGGAGTCTAAAAGCCCTGTAGGTGCGCGCCACCCAGAGCCCAGGCTTATCCCCAACTCACCTGTCTCGCAGCTCTGTACTGGAGCGTTGTCCACTTCCACGTCTCGGGGGTGATCAGTCCCCGGGCGGGCCTCCAAATGTCGATGTCCGCTCCCGGCCGGCAGGAAGGACACACGACAAAGTCTGGTAGTGGACAACCTTTTCTTTTTATTTTCCTTCTCCGTACAGCCTGCCCTGGGTTCTCCCAGCTGAAGCCTCCTCTGGTCCGCTCCCCGCGGCTCCTTTTGTGCTTCAGTCTGCCCCAAAGCCTCTACCGGTCCGCTCTCCGCGGCTCCTTTTGGGCTTTTACTTCTGGGCTTCTACCTGGCTTCTTCTTCCGCCCAGGGGTGGCACCGGTATATATACGGGTACAGTGTCCAATCATGTTAAAGTAAGCAAGGCAAGCTGATTGGCTAACATCATCAGTTGCCAGGCAGACTATATTGTTGAGCGGGTTGTTTACGCGGTAAGCAGGAAACTAACATATTCGATGGGAGGGGTAATCTACCTCAGGCTTTGCTCTTTACCACAGGCCGCACGTCCGCCGCGCAAGGCGAGCTATCACAGACGCGGCTCCCAACATCTCCCCCTATTTTATTTTTTATGAATGTGCGCATCGTAGCCCTTCCTGGACTGGGTGCAGAGGCTTATGCCCTATGTGTAGGCCCACCGTAGGTCCTTGGCTTAGACCCTGGTTGGCCATGCCATGGTCTGCCAAGGCCCTGAGGCCCTCGTCCTTTTTCTAGGGCCAGGCACAAACTGGACGGAACCTGGATGCACACAAGCTTGCACTCATTTCCTCTCCGTAAAGAAATCCCCTCGGAGAGAAATTTAGACCTGGGCAGCATCTAACAGTCCAGCGGCTTACGTGCAGGATGGGGTAGGGCCTGGCTTAGGTCGAGTCGTGCTGGGGAGGCACGCTCTTACCCGTCATTGACTCACCTACCCTGCTGTGTATTGTCACCTTATGGAGGAGAATGAGGGATGCCCGCCATATCTAGACTCGGTCGTGGGCCAATTGAGCAAGCCATGCATATGCCTGAGGATCTTCTTGTCCATTTCGGGCTACCGCTATTTCTATTCATCTTATTGGTTGGTCTGTGATGGATCTCCAGTAGGGCAGGTCTGATCTTCAGTCGAGGGCTTTGTTGCCCGTGTCAGTCTCTCCGGTATCCACAGTGGTTCTCGTCCCGGTTCCTGTGGGAAAACACAAACCGCGCCTCGGTTCCAGCTGACTACCGGATCCGGGCCCATCCATTGTCATGCCATAGATAACCGCGCCTTTGGAGGCAGGCCTTGGCTTACTCCCCCTTTTTGTTTTTTATTTTTTATTTTTTATTTTTATCTTTTTCGTTTTTTTTTTTTTTTTTTTTTTTTTTTTATTGGTACCAGGGATCGAACTGGCGATTGCCTGCTTACAAGGCAGGCGCTTATGCCGCTAAGCTAAATTCCCAGCCCCTATTTCCTCGACCGGCGTTTTTCTCAGCCTGCTCGGCAGAGAACTCTGTGTACCAGGCTTGCCAATCCAGGTAACTGCCCGAGGGCAGACACGCCTTTGCCAGCTGAATCCAGTCCGCGGGGGTGAGGGGCCCAGAAGACAGATTCTCCAGCATGGCAATGGTGTAAGGCGCAGTCGGCCCAAAGGTTGTAACTGCATTTTTAAGTTCTCTAATCTGCTTTATCTCAAAAGGCTCCCATACATTGCGTCCCTGGCCCATAGCTACTTGTACAGGAAATATCCCGTAGGGGCCACTATCTATCCCAGGTGGATGTACCTCATGAGACAAGCGTCCCCCCTGCCAAAGCCGCCTGTAAAAATACCGACCCGCCGGCGGCGGAGCATAAGACAGCGGCCGTGATTGGGCGGAAAATGGGGGCCCGTGCATCACTTCCTGTTCTGGCGAAAGGGGAGAGAGCTCCCAGGCGGCCGCCTCGTGGCGAGGAATCGCCTCCGGAAACGGCCCCCAAGGTGGGGCGGAAGGCTTCGCCTCCCTCTCGCGCCGGGGAGCGCTCAGGAGCTCTCTACTCCTCCGCAGACCAGGTTGAGCAGAGCGCAATTCGCGGGGCAACGCTGGAAAAGAACCCTGCGACTCCTTATTGAGCGACTTAGGCTCCTGACAGCTGGTCTCTTTGGCCTCCTTGCCATTCAACTTTCCCTCGTCCTCGGAGTCAGACGACTCCGAGGCTAGAGCCCCGTCCTCCTCCTTAGCATCCTTGTTCCCCTTGACGGACCCCTCTCGGGAGCTCCCTGACTGGGCCTGCTCAGATACCCTGCGTACTTTTGTAAGCTCTTGAGAGCTTTCTTCACAACCACCCTCGCTCTTAGTGTTGCTACCTAACATGTTTCCCATCTTTTAATATGTTACTCACCGCGTGAGGCCCAAGGAATCCGCCACTTACGCGTGAGCCTGAGGGGAGTCTAAAAGCCCTGTAGGTGCGCGCCACCCAGAGCCCAGGCTTATCCCCAACTCACCTGTCTCGAAGCTCTGTACTGGAGCGTTGTCCACTTCCACGTCTCGGGGGTGATCAGTCCCCGGGCGGGCCTCCAAATGTCGATGTCCGCTCCCGGCCGGCAGGAAGGACACACGACAAAGTCTGGTAGTGGACAACCTTTTCTTTTTATTTTCCTTCTCCGTACAGCCTGCCCTGGGTTCTCCCAGCTGAAGCCTCCTCTGGTCCGCTCCCCGCGGCTCCTTTTGTGCTTCAGTCTGCCCCAAAGCCTCTACCGGTCCGCTCTCCGCGGCTCCTTTTGGGCTTTTACTTCTGGGCTTCTACCTGGCTTCTTCTTCCGCCCAGGGGTGGCACCGGTATATATACGGGTACAGTGTCCAATCATGTTAAAGTAAGCAAGGCAAGCTGATTGGCTAACATCATCAGTTGCCAGGCAGACTATATTGTTGAGCGGGTTGTTTACGCGGTAAGCAGGAAACTAACATATTCGATGGGAGGGGTAATCTACCTCAGGCTTTGCTCTTTACCACAGGCCGCACGTCCGCCGCGCAAGGCGAGCTATCACAGACGCGGCTCCCAACAAGCCATGCCATAGTTTCAACATTCAACTATCTTGAAATTTCTTCTGTCATATTAATTAGTCCCCACCCTTAATCTCAGTCCCAGGCAAAGTTTCTGGGCAAGAGCAAAATGCAGATAAACTTTTTGCCAAGCCATAACACGTATGGTCTGGAATTCAATCCTAGCAGAAGCCTCATGAGCCTGGACTTTACCAGCAGGCTTTCTATCTGCTTTCTGATCTTCTGAGCTCTGACCAGAACTTTCCATATAGAACAGACTAAAGCATTCCAGTGCTACTCACTCAAGCGACATTTCTGAACCTTTCCAAACTCTCCCCACAAGCCATTCTCAAAGGTTCTTATGTTCAGGTATACTCATAGCAACAACACCACTCCTCTGGTGGCAAATTCTATCTTAGTTACTTTTCTCTCATTGCTGAGACAAAATACTTGACATCCAAAATTAAGGAAGAAGAGGTTTATTTAGCTCACAGTCTCTAGAGGTTTCAGTCCCTAATAAGCTAGCTTCAAAGCAGGATGGTACATGGTAGAGGAGCACAGTTCAAGGCAGCACAATACAGCAAAGCAGCAAGAGCAAAAGGGAGAAGAGCAAAGAAAGGCTCCTTTCCTCCCTTGTAAGCAGGGTCACCCGCTATGTCCCCATAAGGCATGTATAGCACTCACACCATCTCCATGCTGTCCTCTTGCACAGGATGAGGATATTTACAAAGTGAGGATTGTTGGCCCCCTGCTGAGTTAACTTAGCTTAAAAAGTTCTAAACTTCTCTGGTTGACACAATGTATCAACCATTACCTGTGGTCTCATAATGCCCCCTGCCTTGCCCTTGTTTCCCAGAATGGCTTTTGTTATTTTAGGTCTCTTGTGCTGCATATGAATTTTAGGATTGTTTTCTTCTATAAAGAATGTTTTTGGTATTTTGATTAAGATTGCATTAAATCTGTATAACAGTTTCAGAAATCTGATCATTTTGACTTTTGGTTTTGCCTGTGTAGGAATGAGAAATACCTTTACATTTTCTGTATCTTCAAACTTTTTTTCAGAGTACTGTTGTCTTCATTGTAGAGGTCTTTCACTTCTTTTGTTAGATTGATCCCTAAGTATCTTGTTTTTCTTGGTGTAATTATAAGAAAAGTATTGCTAAAAAAAGAAAAGTATTGTTTCTCTAATTTTTCTCAGTGAGTTTGTAATTGATGTAGAAAAATTATATTGATTTTATTTTTTAAATTTATTTATGTACTTTTGTCTTTTTGAGACAGGGTCTCACTATACAGTTCAGACTGGCCTTGAATCCACTTTGTAGCCTAGTTTGCCCTCAAACTCACAGTGATTCTCCTGCCTCAGATTCCTAAGTATTGGAATTACAGGCAGGCGCCACCATGCCCAGCTGCTATTGATTTTAGAATGTTGACTTTGTGTTCTACTATTCTGTTGAGCTTGGTTATTAATTCTAGGAGTCTTTTGGTGGAGTTTTGGGGATCTTCTATGTATGAGATCATGTTGTCTGCAAATAATAATTTAACTTCTTCCTTTTCTGTCCCTATTCCTTTTATTTATGTCTCTTTCTGACTGCTGTAATGTTTTGAGAACTCTATCAAACAGAAATGGTGATAGCGAATATCCATGTCTTTAAGCTTCCCTCCATTTAGTATGATGTTGGCCATTAGTTTTTCATAGCTGGCTTTTATCAGATTAAGATAAAGACTTTTATTCCTAATTTCTTTAGGATTTTTATGATGAATTTTGAATTTTTTAAGTACTTTTTCAAGTGAGATGACCATGTGAATTTTGTCCTTCTGTTTATGTGCCCTGTTACATTTATTGATTTAAGTATGTTGAGTCATCCTTGCACGACTAAAATGAAAGCTACTTGGTCATAAAGTACGATCCTTTTAATAATTTGCTGCATTCTATTTACAGTGCAAATCAAAGGTTTTGCATTAATACTAATTTAGAGAGATCGGTGTATACTCCTTTTTTAGTTTGGTTCTTACCTGGTTTTGGAATCAGAGTAATGCTTACTTCCAGGAATGACTCTGGGAGTATAGCTTCCCTTTCAATTTCATTAAAGTTTGAGAATTATTGGTGTTAGGTATTCTCTAAAGTTCTTGAAGAATTTAGCAGTAAATCCATTGGGACATAAGCTTTTCTTGATAATTTTTGTTCATCAGTTTCATTGGCTGATACTGGATTATGGAAGGGTTTTATATCTGCTTGATTTAGCTTTGGTAGCTCAGAAATGTCTAGGAATTTATCCAAATCTTGTGAGGTTTCCATTTTATTAGAGTACAGCTTCTCAAAGTGGCTACAAGTAATCTTTTGGGTTTTGGCAGAATCATTGTGATTTCACCTTCTTAATTTCTAATTGCATGGATTTGGGTCTTTTCTCAGTGTTTAGGATGTTGAGTGTGCAGGTATTTAATGCATATATGTTTACAATTGTTAACTCTTCTATTGGAGTGTTGCCTTAACCAATATGTAGTAACCTTTCTTGTCTCTTCGTAGAAGCCTTAGCTTGAAATCCACCATCAGAATTAAAATAGCAACTCTTGCTTTTTTCCTGAAATACTGTTTTCCATCCTTTGATTTTTAATGTGTGGGTTTTTTAATTAAATAAGTTATTCATACCCTCCACATTTTTGAGTTTTCTTTCTAGATCCATTCTGCCAATCAGTGTCTTTTTGATTGAGAATTTGAATGCATTCACATTGAGAATTATTACTGAAAGGTATTAACTTGTTTCTGTCTTAGTTACTTTTCTCATTGAGAAGATCAGGTAACCAACATCTAAAGTTAAAGAAGGAAAGATTTATTTCAGCTCACAGTTTGTAAATGTTTCAGTCCAAAGTTGGCTGATTCTGAGGCAGGATGACAGGGTAGAGGGGCATTCCAGATGAGAAATAGTTCATGCCAAGCAGGTAAGAGCCAGGAAAGTAGCAAGCAGCAGCAGGCAGAAACAGCCATCACTTTCTTTCCCTTTACATTCCATCCTGGTGCAAATTTATTGACTGGTGCTACCCACGCTTGTGGGGGAGCACCCTTAATTCCAGCATCACATACCTTAATCCAGTCACCGTTGAAACTCCCACATAGAACTGTATGAGGCCTTGGGGAATCATAGTACAAGCTGTAACACTGTCATTACATTATTTTCCATTTGCTGATTTCCATTTTCCCCTCTTTGCTTAGTGTATTCGTTCTTTTTGACTTATTGTAATTGTTAGCTTTACTATTTCTTTGTACAATGTCCTTGAGAAGTTTTTATATTGCTACTTAGGTGGTCGTAAATTTCTTGACGTGTTCGTTGTCATAGAAATACTTTATTTCTGCATCAGTTTTAAAGAACCGTTTTGCAAGGTACCTAAATCCAGGCAGAAATTCATGATTTTTTAGACTTGAAGCACTTTACTCTAAGACCTCCTGACCTTTAACTTTAGTGTAAAGAAGTCTCCTGTAATTCTAATGGATTTAAATTTATATGTGACTTCTTGCCTTTCTCTAATGGCTTTTGGGATTTTGTGCCTGTGGAAGACTTGTGGTACTTTGAGTATAATGTGGTGTGGAATGGTTCACCCTTGGTCACAGCTGTTTAAAGCTGTATCTGCCTCACTTATCTGTATATTTATTTCTTTCCCTGCATTTGGGGAGTTTTCTGCCATTATTTCTGTGAACAGATTTTATATGCCATTTGTGTTGTCTTCTGATGTTTCACTTATTCTAATTCTTATATTACTCTTCTTTGCATCATCTAGCATATGTTGGATCCATTTTTTATGTTCTCTTGCTTTCAAGGTGTCTTTGTGTAGTTAACTTTTGAAGGCATCATTGTCTTCTAGTTCTAAAATTCTGTCCTCATATTGTTGAGTTCTGCTGTCCATAGCTTCAGTATGATTTTTGTCTTCTGAATTTCTATTTGAAATATTTTAATGGATTATAAATTTTTGATAAACTGGTCACTCATGTTTTGAATCATTTTGTTTGGTTGATCAAGCTTTTTATTGGTGTCTTCTGAAAGCTTCTGCATCTTTTTGGTTATTGAATTATCTGTTCAGTTATATTTTGTCTAATCCTGCTGAGTACCTCTCCAAGCTGTTTTCTAACCTCTTCTTTTATCCTTTTGACAAATTCCTTTGTATATTTTGTCCCTCCAATGCCTCGAGATTGACTTCAGAGGAGCTGGGTGTTTGAAAAGAAATTTCATCGCCCTGTCTTTTCATGTTTCTATTGTTTTTGTTTTGTGCTGGGGTTTGTGGATGCGTATAGTGTAAAGACTTTGTTCCTATTATAGAGATCACTTCAGCTTATCAGGGACATGGCCAAGATCCCCGATCTCCCAAATGAGTATATGGCAAAGGCTTAAATAAATGAGACAAATGGCATGATTTTAGGGCTCCAGGAGGATCAAAACCCTCTAGCAGAGCTCAGAACTCTGGAGGCTGAGACAAGGAATGTCTCTGGGTGACCCATATTTATTTAGTTTTCAAACAAGGAGAGGGTTAGAGTGGAAAATACAGGAAACTGAGCAGGACCTTGGGAGTGGTTCAAGAACTTTTTCAAGTAACAGACTATGTTAATTTAAGAAAACTATCATGTATAAATTTAGGAGAAATATTTTATGTTAATTTAGGATAACTATCTTAGGAGAAAGTCTCCAGGGTGACTTTTACTACAGAAGTGAAATGCCTATAGCTACAGTCTTTATTTAGTTAATCAGAGTTGAGGTCAGGTGTCCTCAGCTGTGGCCTTATCTTGCCCTCTGGGGCATGTCTTTATTCTCAGGTCTGCTATACCTCAGCCCTGCACATGTGTTTAGTTTCCAGCTTCAACAATTCCCAACATCAGCTGATTTTTACTGATGTACATTGGCTATGGCAAGTTCTAATCCTTTGCATCAGTACCACAATCCAACCACCTTGATATATTCAGGGGAGGAGAATGCAGTGTAGTTATCCCAGCAACAAAGTTCTCTGGGAATGTACTCTAGAGTTGTTAATGTCCCAAAATGTTGGCTTAAAGAGAAATAGCAACAACTATTTAACCCTGTAAATGGCAAGTGAATCAGCTACAGTAGTGTTATCTAAGATGAATTAGATATTATCAAAGCAACCACTTATGTACACCCTTAATCCTAGAGAAGACACCTACAATTACAGTAATACCTTGGTTCACAAATGTTTCTGTTCATAAACAATTCAGTTTGCAAACAGAAGGGTTCAGCAAAATTTTGCTTGTGTTTGTTAACTTTGCATTGGGTTATGAACAAGACCACCACCATCTCTCCTGCATGAACACAAACCCAGCCATCCTACCTAGCATCCTGGAATAAATTGACAGAGGTACCACTATGTGGCATAAACATTAAGACAACCCAGGTATTGATGTACAACTAATATTTACTAAATGTAATAGCAATATCTCTGTTAATGGTAGAAAAGAATTCAACAGAATTTTGAAGAGTTTACTGTCAAAAGAATAACAAAGCTTTATGGTTATACTATTAAAGATACAGAGATTGTTTCTAGATGAATTAGAGGGATGCAAGAGGAAAACTTTGAAGCCTTAAACTCTGTGGTATGAGAAGGAAGACAGAGAAGTGGAACAAAGGATGTTATTGGGGAACAGAATAAGGTAAAGGTAAGAAAAACCTGCAGGAAATAGATGAAAAGGAGAAAAATAAATTACAGAAAGTAAAAATAGAAATCATGAAAGGGAGAAAAACTAAAAGAGGAAAAGATAAAAAAGAGAAGGGAGACAAAGGGGTAAGAAGCAAAGCTGAAGGATAAGAGAAAATATCCACGTTCCAGGAAACTCGTAGAGAAGAAAAAAAAGAAGAGAAAAAGAAAAGAAATTTCTGTGATTTCAAATGTGTGGTTTTCTTCCAGGATCTACAATTTGGGGGCAGCGTCCAATTCAAGACGAGTCTCTGCTTATGCAGGGCATTCAGATCCCAGATGTGTGCTAGATGCAGTCACCAGCAGATAGTAGGATTAGAATAAAGGCTCCAGTTTCTGTGATTCACAAACCCAGAGTGATTCAAGCTGAGCCTGGCCTCTGGCTGTGGAGGTGGGTCCTGAGTACTTGAGCTTAAACCCCTGTAGTGGTGTCTTGCCGGCCTGCCCAACCACCCCTCACCTAGTCACTGTGGGAGCTTAACACTAGCAACCCTGAAGTGAAGCCAGCCCCTGCGTACTCTAATGTCCCAGGCTCCGCTGACCCCTCCTTGGAATGGCGTCCAACCACTCTTCTTAGGAAAAGGCAAGCAGTTGGATTCCAGATCAGATATCTTGTTTTTTTCCCCCTGTAATGTTTTTTCTCCTTCTTAACAGATATTACTACCTACCTACATGATTGAACAAATGAAGCTAAAATTTATACTTGATTTGTTTTTCTCTCATTCTTTATCAATCCACTAACAAATCTTGTCAATTCTATCTCCAAAAACTAGTTTGAATCTATTGACCTTTACCTCCAATGACTGTTAATCTAGACCTCCTTCACTGAATATACAGTTTGCTTCTTTCTAATAGCCATCCATCTTCAGTCAGTACTAAAGATAAAAGGCATCTCATCTCATCAATTCCCACTTAAATCAGCAGAAATCTCATTACTTTAGCCGGCAGGTTGTACTGTCACATTTTCCTAGAATCAGATTCCGGTTCTCACTGCTTTGTAGCTGCGGAATCTTAAGCGAGCTGGTTAATTTCTGGAGAATAATGTGTAATGGCAAAATTAAAGAAGATAATTCACATAAAGCAGTTACAGCTGCACCAGGCACTTAGTAAATGTTCACTGTTAATATTGTATGAACTACAGAATCCTGCATGATGAGGACTGTATGGGCTAACGTTTCAAATTAAAGATTTAGTAATACCTCCTTAGTGACTCCAGAATTAGGATCTTTTTTTCTCTTCTGAGATCTTTTCTCTGAAACTGTTTATTTACTTTATACTGTTTGTTGTCATTTGTAATTATCTTTTCCTTGTTACTTAACTTGTTTTCTTATGCTATAAATACCACAGAGAGAAGCTTGTTCACCATTATAACTATAATATCTAGCACAGTTCTTACCATATAGTAGGAATTTATCATATATTTGTTGATGAAATATTTAGTATATCTGACATTCTTAGCAAAACTGTTGGAGATTTGTATTTTAGGCAGTTTTTATTCTTAGTTTAACTAAATATAATATGTATTTATAATGCTGTAGTCTGTTTTGTGTGCCATAAGGGAGAAATTTCCTTTATAGCTTCTTGTTCAGTTTCTTACATGCAAACAAAGTTGAGGAAGAGAACAAGAATGTCAGTGAAGTTTCTTTGGCTTATAAAATAGCTTTTGCCTATTCAAATAATGTATTTTTAAGGTATAGAATAACTTTGACTCTCAAGAAAATTTGAAGCATGTTATTACACATTATTAGCATGATCTGTATTGACTGTTCACCTTAGATCTCATCCACAGGATATTTATTACTGAACTACTTGAAAGGCCTTAAAATACTCTTATGGAACAAATTCCACACTAGTATGATATACTTCAAATATAGTTAAATTATTTGTGATTTTTTAAAGTGTGTTATCTGAGAGGTATTATCTTAGAATAATTTTCTAGCCAGAATATAAATGATTAGAAAGCATATACCTAAACCAAGTGTGGTGGCTTACACTGGTAATCTTAGTTATTTCAGAGGCTGAGGCAGGAAGATTGCAAGTTTGAGGCCAGCATGGGCAATTTAACACAATTCTGCCTTAAAATAAAATTTAAAAAAATCAAATAGGAGCTGAGGATGTAGCTCCTACAGGTTCAGTCTCCCGTAGTGCAAGCAAACAATCATCTTTCAAAGGGAGGGGAGTGCTGGGGAGGTGCCTCAGTATGAGTCCCTACATTTAATCCCCAGTTCCAGGGAGTGGGGAGAATTGGGATGATCAGGTAGGATCTTAATAAAAACTGGAATTTTTTTTCCAGATCACAGTAATTACTTATAATTTTTCCTTGCTTTCAAAATGCAAAACTGTACTTAATGACATCATCTAACAAATAATAAGAGTTTTATGTATTTTTTTACCTGGAATTTTCAATATTTATATGTTCGTGGAATTCAGTACACTATTTTGTTAGATTCTTCTTACAAAATATTTTCTTTAGAACAAAAAATATTTTTAACAGAAAACAGGGTTTTGTAGTATATTACTACAAATATTGTAGTATTATTACAACATTGTATAAATATTGCAATGTGTTATCTATTCTTGGCTTACTTACTGTATAATCTTAGTTATATAAACAAACTATTAAAATTCCAATTTTTCTACGTGATAAAGGCATTGAAATTTTATAATCTTTTGAAAATAAATATAACAAGAATCATATTTTCAGTAAAATCATTCATACCTTAAGGAATAAAAAATAATTTTTCCAAATAGTTTCTACCTCTTTAGTACTTAAAAATGATTTAAATCTTAAGTTGAGCTATAAGAAAATTATTTTTTCAGGTTACTCCAGGTGTTTTAAGTTGTGTTGAATATTCTGTCTGGCAACAGGAAAGTGACTAAGACACCGCCTAACATAATATTTTATCCCACATATAACCGAAAATGCAGTGACCTCTTCCCCAAGCCTCAGCAGGTCTAGAATTCTTCAAAAATCCAAGCCTTTTCTAAGTATCAAGAAAAACTTAGCTATGAACCTCTGTGGAATAAAAAGCAAGTTATATAACTGTAAGGTGCAATGGCATAAGGAAAAGATTACCATTCCAAAAGAAAGGAATAGAGAAGTAGAAAAGAATAAGACCACAGCTAGACTGAAACTCCACCACAGCTGCCCTACTGGTAAGTACAGGATTAAGTACATAGTTTGGGAAACAGACCAGCATAAATGACTCTAAATTTGCTACTTTTCACTTTACATTCATATTGCTTCACTACTAGGGAAATTTTCTGGACACTCTAGATCCATTAGAAGAGTAATTCTGGAACTTATTTTTAAAAGAAAGATAAATACTTACATTTTTTTTGAGACAGGGTCTCACTATGTAGTTCAGGCTGACCTTGGGCTTACTTTATAGCCCAGGCTGTTCTTGAATGACCCTGCTGCCACAGCTTCCCAAGTGCCAGGATTATAGGCATGCACCACCACACCCAACTAGAATCTTTTTGTTTTAGTGTTAGATTTGCCTTCTTTTATATCTAAATACCTTCAAGACTTTAGCGATCAAAGTTTTTTATACAAATGAAATTGTACTCTTTCTATATTATCTTGGGCTGCAAATGACTTCTCAAACTATTCCTTTTAATTTTATATATTTTTTCATTCTTAGGAGGTTTTACGATGACGGAGCAATTGTCTTGGGTGAGGAAGCAAATATGCTAGCTGGCATGCTGCTTGGGCTCAATGCTATTGATTTCAGGTACGTGGTATTTAACTAAATGAGATAAATTTCTCCTATCTTCCTCTTACTAGTTTCTGCTCATTTCTCAGGTTCACAGTAAAACAAACAGTAGGATGTCAATGTTTGACTCATATTGTTCCCTTCCAAATCCAGTTTCTTTTCTTAATGAGGTTTCTCTTAGAAAAGAGATGGTCTCAAACTGAAGGAACTCATAAGCTTGCTCGTTAACTTGGGTGAAATAAAAGCTTAGACAGCATCTGCCTAGTATGGCCACCAGGTTCTGTGCTACCAGCCCTAATGGAAGGTTTTGGACCTTTCAGCTGCTGCTTTAAAATGAAAAGAAATGGACTAAAAATAGCATCAAAGTTCTTGCTTTCATATGTATTCAGGAACATTCTGGCAGACTATGCTGGGTATCTTATATTATTTATCTAGAATATAACATATTAATATTTGCTTTTTTAAAAATTTTATTTAAGGAGAAAAAGAAAAAAAGCAGACAAAGGGTACAAGTTATAGATTTACAGAAAAAAATAAACAGTAGGAAATCACTAGTTAATGGATTACATATTGTCATCTTATAAATAATTGTTCAAGTTACAAAATTAAAGCTTACAAAGTGGACATTCCAACAGTGAGACTGCAAACAGTTCTGTTCAGTGATCCAACAAAACTCAGTAATAGCATTATCTATCTTATACACTTAAATATACATACAGTTGTATCATTTAGAGCACTTTCTTTTCCTCTCTTTTGTACAATGACACTTACACATTTTGGGTTTTGTTGCTCCCACAGTTCTTATTACTTTTTTGGAAGAGAGTAGAACCAAATGTGACATAACAGAACAGAGTCAGTCAAATCAAAAGGGTGGACATAATAGATAATGTAAAAGCATAATACAAGGTGATCAACAATGGTTACCATGATGCCTCCCGCTATCTCTAATAGAATTGCCTATATCATCAGTTATAATAAAATTGAACAAAACAGTAAAGAACAAAACCAAAAAAACCAAAACATTGGAGACATTATAGGTCTTCAAAAGTAGATAATAGTCAACCAGAATGGGCGTCATAATGAATCCCACTATCTTCACAGCTGTTGCCTAAACTTTCGAACCTGGTACTATCAAGCAAAACAGAATAGAGGAACATCAGTCAAAACAAGATGGTGAGAGCAATACAGGGCTTTAAATCAAGATAATGGAAAGTCAAAGTGGGTTACTATAATATACCCTGCTATTTTTTTAAATTTATTTTTCCCTTAATTAAAAGGATAAAAACAAAAAAAGTAAATAATAAAATGGAGATTGAGATAAAAGAGGGCATAAGAGCAAAACAGCACAGATCAAAACATAACCATTTAAGCAAAATAGTGTTTCACCACAAGATAATCCCGACATAAAAGTAGTTACCATATTGTCTCTTTCCTTGAAATCTTTGAGTATAACTTCGTATACTGTAGCATCAAATATATCAAAACAATGTAAAACCATTTAAGAGAATGACAGTATTACAGGGTATTTAGAATCAACTAACAGAAAATGAACAATGGTTTCTGTATAATCTCCTTGTCTATAAAAGTTTTTGCTTATACTATCATATATAATAAAATCCAATAAGATACAACCTGTTTAGACCAATGGAGACAGAAGAACAAAAGCTTGATGAGACTTCAAAACAAGATGATACTAAATCAGTATTACTTACCTCTTAAGACGTCATTTTCTCCAAAATAGCTGTTCCTATCATCCAATCTTCTCTGCCTCATTTCTCTTGAGCTCTTTTTCTGTCATTAGTTGTCAATTTGTCTTCTTCATTTTGTTTTCTGCTCCATTCATTGTGGCCTCTCTGCCGCTATTTCTGGATTCTTCGTATTTTTCTTTTTTAGAATATCCTACAGTATTCTCTGTAGAGTTGAATTGGTGGTTGCATATTCCCCTAGTTCCTCTTTATCCTGGAAGCACCTTGTTTTTCCATCAATTTCCAGGGATAGTTGTGCAGGATATCTCAATCTTGGCTGGAGGTTATTATCTTTCAAAGCTTGAATTATTTCCCCCCACGCTCTTCGTGATTTGATGGTTTGTGCCGAGAAGTCTGCTGTAATTCTGATAGGTGTTCCCTTGTAAGTGATCTGTTTCTTGTCTCTGACGGCTTTTAATACTCTGTTCTTGTATTAGATTTCTGGAATTTTAATTATTATATGCCTGGGTGTTGCTTTGTTTGGGTTGTAGGTGGCTGGGGTCCTGTATGCTTCATACAACTGAGTATCTTTACCTTTTGCTAAATTAGGAAAATTCTCCTGGATTATTTCTGTGAGTAGTTTTTGTAGTTCATTTGTTTGTGTCCCTACTTCTTCTTTTATGTTCTTAATTCTTAAGTTATAGACCCTCTTATCATCTTCTTGTCTTTGTATTATTGCTGTTTGTTTCTTTGTTATTTTTAAGAAGTTTTTCATTTCATGCTCCCATATTACAAATCTGCCCTCCAGTTCAGATAATCTGTCCTTAGTTTCTTTCAAGCTGTTATGCCAGTTTTCAATAGAGTTTTTAGTTTCCTGGTAATCTCTTTGAACCTGCTTCATGTATTCTATGCTTTCTCTGTTTTCTCCATTAAACAATTCTCCCCTCTTTTTCTGTTCTTCCATTCCACCATCTGTTTTTTCTTGGGTGGTGCTTAGCATTTCTCTAACTATTCTGCTTATGCCTAGCTTCAGGTCATTAATAACTTCATTCCTGAACTTGTCTATGAGGCTCTGGAGATAGCGCTTTATATTTATTGGTACTGTGTCTGCTGTTGCCTCTTTCTCAGGATTGGGGGCCGAGGAGCCTTTCTTGTTGCTGCCTCTTCCCATATTCTTTGTTCCTTATATATGCAAGCATATATAGAAGGCCCTGCTTCCTTCCCTGTCAGCCCCAGTCTGATTGAATTGCGCCAGCTAGGTGTTCCCACCCACCACAGCGCACCAGGAAGTTGCAGACCAGGCCGCCTATGCGGGGCCTGCCCCTCCAGGTCAATCTACCTTCAGGCACTGGGACCTGGGTTGTGCTAGCCTACTGTGTCTCAGCCAGCAGCGTCACATAGGCTAGGCACTGCTCACCAATCCTGCTTGAGAGGGGGATATGTGACTGAAGTCACTACAGCGCCCTGTTCCCGCAAGTCTGCCCAGTCCCAAAATGTCCTCTGTTGGAGTCTCCTAGACTGTGGAAGAGTCCCAGTTTCTCTCACTCACCGCTGGTCAATGCACAGCTCCCCACCCGTCCTGCTTTCAACTCCCTTCACTGATTCCCGTTCTCAGCTTTCATGAGTCTCTCTCCCTGCCGAGCCGATGTAGATGCAGCAGTGGTGGCGGGAAACCCAAATCTCGGCTTCCAATGGCCCGGGCTCCAGCTTTCACACTGAGGCTTTTCTGTTCCTGTTATAGCACCAGGATTGCATTCCAAGTTGGTTTCTCTCAGCCCAGTTCATTCTTGGGTCAGCGGGGCATATATCCTCTTGCTTATGATTCCTTTACCCTGCACCATTCCTGAATTCTAAGCTGGGTCTTTCAGAGAGTCTCCATAGCTGCTGCTGTCTGTCCGCCATGTTCTCCTGGAAGTCCAATATTTGCTTTTATTATCAACAAGATGCGGGGGTTTCAGACTAACGTTATGTTATACTAAACCTAGCCATTGTGAGTTCTTTCTAGATTTCTAAGCATCTTTTTCATTTCTTCAGTTGATACCAGATTTTATGTTACATTAAAGATAAAAGGTGTAAGCCAGATAAAAGGTATAATCCCAGCATTCTGGGAAGCTGAGGCAAGAGGATCATGATTTCAAGCCCATCTTGAGCAACTTAGAGACTGAGCAAGACCCTGTCTCAAAATAAAAAATTAAAAGAGCTCCTGCTGCATCTCAGTGGGAAGGTGTTACAAAAATAACATAAAATAAAAGTTTGTTTATAAGAAAACTAAAACAATGAATAAAATGTCATATTTTTATTGAAATAGAGGATTTGAAAATTCAAGATTATAATATTAACAAAATCAGACTTGATTAACTTTAGGTCTTGAATTTAAAAATCATCCATTTTCACTGAATGTGTCTTTAATCTAGTAAATCAGTTTTCCAAATGTTATTTATAACATTTTGTGATTTAATAAACTAGTATTAATTTATTTGCTTTTTAGAATGAACTTGATAGGTAGAAAGTTCTTTTTGATTCCTATAAGGTTGTTGACTTTTTACATGGCATGTCCTTGACTTTGTCTAAATTCTCTAAAACTTGATTTTACTTGTTTGTTGTTTTTGGTTAACAAAACAAAACAGCTGGAATAAAAATGTTAACTTTTGGTTTATTGTAAACCATGGGCACTGTGTAATCGTGTGAAAGCAAGTATTTTAAAGATATATTAGTAATGTTTTTGCAAATTAAGGAAAGCCCATACAGTGTTGTCATTTTTAATTACATGCTTATTCAAGTCTAGAAAATATCTATATTAATACAGTGGAATAGTATTTAAGCAAGCAGACTTCTGAAACAAGCTAGAAGGTGGTAGTTCAGTTAATTTTTTCCTTTGGAAGATCAACCTACATCTTACTTGTATGCCTATAAGATGTTCTATTTATTTATTTATTTTTTACATTTTATTCAACATATAAGAGATTAGTGGCTATGAGACGACGTTACCAGCTCCAAAAGAAAGCTGAGCATACATGAAAGGAAACTCTTTCAGCACCAACTATGAAGTTGGTATCGTTTCCCAAACTCAGACTACTCTTTGGTGCCTAAAGGTCTATGCACCTGCTCAGACCTCCAGTGCACGTCCAGCCATTACGTGCACTTGCTACATCAGAGTTCTTCTGCACTTCAGCACCTACAGGCCCTGAAATGATGGGGCTCCCTTGGGGCCAGTTTATGTTCTCCTCTTACAGGAATTTGTGCTCTTATGAAAACAGGCCCAAAGGAAACACTGGGTCAGCTTTAGCTCAGCCTAAGCTGGGCTCCTAAGCATCCCCTCAAACAGGTAAACAAGTCAGCTTATTTATTAGAACTAGAGAAATCTGAGAATTTCGCAGAAACATTATTGTGTCCATATATGTATAGAAAATCCTTTAGATAAACTGCTTGTATCTGACCCTCTCAAAATGAAGACCTGGACATAAGAGTGTTCAATGATGCATGTGACTTACTGGAAAATACATATGTCTGAAGTACTTACATGTACAACAGAAAATGCATTGTATTTTGCAATCTAATATACATTTTTATGTGATTTAAACAGTCTTTTAGGTTTTTTGCTAACATTGACCTTAATCTGATTTTTCCCTATCACATAAATTGATTGGTTTGTGCCACTCTCACTCACCACTCCACACATAAGATGGTAAATTTTACATTTTCCAAAACCAGGAGGAAGACATTATGAGACTTTAGAACATGAGCCTCACTAGCATTTGTCATCTGGTCATAAGTGCTCATAGTAGAAGACAATCCAAAGTTTCAAAGACAGAGTCTTTCGGATCTTCCTAAGTTTAAACCTCTCTTCAGTGATATTTCCACCTATAGTCCCGTCTTCCAGTTCCTATCTGGGGAGGCACACAGGTCCTTTCCTGAGGAGTGAGTTGCTGTTTGTGAATGAAATTCAGATAGAAGTATTCATTGAGCCCAGCCAGCCTCATAGTTTCCAGCTTTCCTTTTGCCTACAGCATGACGTTAACAGTTCATAGAGGTTTCAGTCCATGCTCAGCTGGCTCCAAGGCAGGGTGGCTGGCTAAGGGGCAGCCATTTATGGTGGCCACAAGCGACAAGACTAAACAGGGTGAAAAGGGGAGATGTTCTTTTTTTAAAGTGACAGCTATCTAGAAAATATTCTTTATTCTTTTAACAATATAAATAATAAAACTAAAGAATCTCTTTTGTATGTTCCATCATTTAAAGTTAACCAAGAGCTACATTTCCTTTTTTGGCTCTATCTGGCTCACTGCATGACCTTGGGCAAGTCATTTGATCTTTGCCTTGTTCCCATGATGTGAAGGGCTGGCTGGTGATAGGATGTTCAGCATCCTCATAGGTCTAAGATGCAGGCCTTTGCAACTCTTATTTTCTAAGCCATCAGATCTTTCATCATCTGAGAACTTGCTTCTAAGTGTGAAAAACAGGTAGTCATTTGAAAGTTCTTTAGTGACATCCTGAAAGTCTGGTAGAGACCAAGATACTATCAGACAAGACTTGAACCAATTTCTCAGCAAATTTTACTTTTGCCTCTTGATAAAATATTATGTAACAGTGTATTTTATGATACTTTGTATTGAAGGTAGAGTATATTTATTAGGATTTTTTGGAAACAAATAACAAATTGTAAGCAAAAAGAAATTCCCCTAAAATGTGATGAACAATGTTCAACAACAAAAAAAGGTTTTTAACAGTTATATTTGTTTATGTACTAATATGTAATGTTTACTGTCTGTTTTCTTAGCTTCTGTCTAAAGGGAGAAGGTTTGGATGGCAGCTTTCCGGCTGTAATAGACTATACTCCATATCTGAAGTTTACACAAAGGTATTTGCCATTTTGAAATGTGTTGTGAAATCTTAACTCATAATTGAATGTCCTTGGTACAGTATTCATCTAGATTAAGCTACTTTTTATAAAACATTTGTTTTGGCTTTAGAAATGATCAGTATATAAATTCGAATTGCATTTTTGTGTTTATATAGCTATACACATTTTGTATAATTACAATCAATATATGATTTTTTTACATACAAAAATATTTGTATTGCTGTAGTTGTTATAGCACAATAATAACTGTAATTGCTCTGAAATAGTTCATTGGACTTCAAAACTATAACTTCCTATTTAATCATTTTCCATTTTATCTCCATTATAAAGAAAATGAGCATCATCATGCACATCAATTTTCCTTCTGTTCCTATTATAACTTTTTAGTTGTTTTAGATAAATTACACTTGATCTTAGCCAAAAGGTGAGGAGTGATTGTTTAGATAAAATAACAATTTGATATGCTTTAAAAGTGTATGTTTATAAAAGAGATGTACTAATTCATCCGACTGCTAATATTGTGTGAGGCTCCAGGACTTCCAGTCTCATTAAAAGTTAGTCAAATGAGCCAGGCCCAGTGTGCATACCTGTAATCCAAGCAACAGTACTTGGGTGGGCTGAGGTAGAGAGAGAATAGATTTGAGATCAAATTGCACATTTTCATGAGACTTTGTCTCAAAATAAAAAATAAAAAGGAATGGTAGTACGCCCTAGTAGGAGAGCACCCACCCATTCAACCCCAGTACCATAAGAAATGAAAGAAATAAGGAAAGGAAAGAAGGAGGGAAGGAAAGATGCTATGGATGAATCTATGCACTACCTGAAAAATTGATCCTCTGAGTAGCATGATAATCTGTATGTACTTCTAAAGTTATAATCAGGCTGAAGGTAAGGTGTTGTATGTGTATCTGTGTGAAAAGGATATATGCATGTCATACAAGACACCACGCATGCATGCAAAATGCATTTATTAAAAGCCTGATGTTGAACAGATATTTTGCTAGGTGTTAGGGATATACAGCTGTTAAAACTAGAGGGACTCAAGGAACTTCTGAAGGAGTACAATCTCCGAAGAAAACCACTGTCTAATAAAAGAAGGCACTGATATTTCAGAAGTAGGAATTTGAAGATATTTTGACTGGTGGGGAAGAAGCAGGAATAGTACATTATGACACTAAGATTTCTAACTTAAGTTAGAACATCCGTTGGGAAAAGGGGTGATTCTTATTAAATTAAGTCTACAAAAAAACACATGACGATGTTTTGCAAAAGCATACAATTATACTGTTCGGAACATGTTGGATTATTATATAATTTGGGAAGATAATGAATACTTCAAAATAATAAAAATACTTACTGAATGCTTATTATATATCAGGCATTATGCTAAGTGCTTTATTTCTGTTAATTTATTTACTCCTCACAAAATAGTGAAGTAGACAACACTTCCTCTTCAGGTCAGTTAAAGCACACAGAGACTAAATAACTTGTCAGGAGTCTCACAACTACATGTGGCTGAGCAGGCAAAAATGCAAGTCTGGAATTAAAGAATAAAATGTCATCTGAAAGTAGGAACTAGTCATCAACTTGTAGGTAGGAAAGCTATTTCCAGTGGGTTTAAAATGACTTAATTAAAACATTATGCTAAATGTAAGTACTTATTTTATTCTCTTACATGGAAGAGGATATAGTATATATTACAGTGTTTGAAAGATACAATAATAGAAACTTATCAATTGGTACTGTCTGTATTTAATAATATAACTCGGTATCCTTAATTACTTATTTCTTTTTTGTCTAACATTTTTATACAACTTATTTTTTGTGTACTAATCCAAACATATAGCCTGTTCATTTTCATATGTTGAAGAATTCCTACAAAAGATATTAAAATGAAAAATCATAAGCCAGTTAGTATTACTGTACCTGAAGTCTTTCTTAATAGAAAGACTTAAAACATCCTAATTATCATAAATAACCAACAGACTGACAATTGAATTTATTTTTATTTTTACATAATTTTTTAAAACTTTATTAGGGTCCTCATTTTAAGAAACCATCAGTCTCTTCTTTTTCCCCAAGTTACTGCTTTTAATTTATTTAGAAATGCATATTTCTTGAAGAAAAATTAGAAAATACAGAAAAGTAGAAAGAATGTTAAGACACTTACTATCTTCAAAAACAGATGCTGAGGTCTTAACAGTTTTGTTAGATAGTTTTTTAGTCTTCTGTAGACATTCATTTTCTTCCTTTTAATGAAAGTGTAAATATAATATACATGTATTGTTTTTCTCTTTAAAACTATGTAATGAAAACTTACCTGCCATTAACTGTCTTCAACATCACTTCCTCAAATGAATAGAATTCCATAGGAATAAACTTATCCAGTTATTGTTGGACTTTTAGGATATATTCAGTTATTCATGTCACATGCATTGCTATAGTTAACATCTTTGTAATTAAATATTTTTATTTGGAACCTTGATTATTTCCTTAAGTTAAATCATTAGAAGTAGAATTTCTGGGATGAATGCATACATGTTATTAACCTTTTGAAATACCCTGTCAGATTGCCCTCTGGAGATACAAACTAATTCAGTTTGTATTAGCAATATGTGAAAAAAAAAACCTTCTTCCCACTTTTTCTAGTCTTTCCAACTAAACATGAAGAATATCGCCAGCTTTTTTTTTTTTTTTTTTTTTTGTACCAGGGTTCGAACTCATAACTGCACACTTGCAAGGCAGGCGCTTATGCCACTGAGCTAAATTCCCAGCCCTGAATGTGGCCAACTTTATAAATGAAAAATGATACTCTATTACTTTAATTTGTATTTGTTGAGTTATTGGTGTGGTTTAGCTTTTTTAAATGTTTTTTTAAATGTATTTTTGAAATGAAGTTTTGTCCTTGTGAAATTAAATGTACAAAATATGTAAATGGAAGACAGTTTATATTTAAAATCAAGTATGTTTCAGGTTGTATATCAGTGAGAAAAGTTACTTTCTCCATGTTACTCTTTGTCGTAATTTAAATGTCTTACTAAAACTAGACCCATGCCTATAGCCATGCACTAATCTAAAGTCAAAATGGATCAAAGATCTAAATATTAAAACAGAATACTAGAAGAGAAAGTAGGTAGAAATCTTGAAGACATAAGGGTAGGCAGTATGTTCATGAACAATAACCAAACTACATGGAAAGTACTTCAAAGAATCAGCAACTGGGATCTCATCTTATTAAAATGTTTTTGCACCTGAAAAAAAAATCACCAACAGAGTAAAGAGAAAATCCAGACAGGGAAAAAAATTTAGCCACCTGTCCCTCAGACAAAGGACTTCTATCTATAACATCTAAAGAATTGAAAAAACTCAGGCCTCCACCCCAAAATCAAAGACAAAAATTGGGCATTGCAGATTAATACACACTTCTCAGATAAAATACAAATGGTAAATATAGCAGCACAATTTGTAATAACCCAGATGCCCATCAGCTGAAGAATAGGTAAAAAGATGTACTATTTTTTATAATGGAGTATTATGCAGCTAGAAAGAAGGATAAAATCGAGCCTTTTATAGAAAATGGATGCAACTAGAGTCCATTCTCTTAAGTGAAATAAACCAGACCCATATGGGAAAGAAACAGCTCAAAAGTAAAGACCAACTGGGATGGGTGAAAGGATAAAAGAAGGAAGAGAAAAGGAAAAAAAAATACACACACACACACAAAAGATAGCTAAGATAATTATACTACTGATTTCTTTTAGTTCATTAAAAAAGTTTGTGCTTATATTGTTTGATCAATTATGCATACATATGTTTTGTAATGTGAGCAATTACTTTGAAGACATTACATAATATATTAACCATTGTCAGTTTCCTATTATCTTGTTTTTGAAATCTTGTACCTTTTTATTGCTTTTTTCTCTTTAAAATAAAATTTTTTTTAAATTTAAGCACCTTTTTCTGTTTTTTATTTGCACCATTTACCATACTTAGTAAATACAGTTGCCATGGGCTTGGTGCACAAACATACCGAACATTGTGTCTTCTCACTTCGCCCCTCTCCTCCCACTCTGCCTATCCCATCCCAGACCCCTTTCCATCCTTTCAGAGAACCAGTTCTTTGATTCATTGACCCTTTAGACCCTTTATATTATTTTTAGTCTTAGTTTCATTGATTTCCACTCTGATCTTTATAATTCTTTTTCTTTGCATTAGTTTCAGATTTGGATTGTTATCTTTCTAAGGCCTTGAAATACATCATCTGTTTTTAAGACTTGTGCTCCATTGGTTGGTCTCTTGCATTAATGACCCCACTTTTTTAAGGAGTTATGATAACCCAGCCGTGTGGGGGGAGTAGGCCTGGGAAGAGTGGATATGGGGACGGGGATGCAGGAAGTGAGGTGTGAGTCGGGGTGGGGCATAAGTGAGGAAGGATGGAAGAACATGCTGAGAGAAACAGGTTTTCCACATACCACAGTGCTAAGAATAGAGGAGCAAAACAATTTCTCCTCGAAGCACGGATCACTTCTAGTGACCTCCCAAATGGAATTTCTCCCCACCAGCTAATAGGAAAGCAGTTCTGCAACGGACACCAACTAGGTCTCTTCTTCCATTCAGTTTAATTCCAGTGTTAGTTACCTAGAGATAGTGTTGGTTCCTTGAGATAGAACCCACTTCAGACCCTACTCACGAGGCTGGGTCTCTGGAACTTCTGGCAGACCAGCTACAAATTGGGTGACTTCCTGCAACCCATCTTTATGCTCAATTAATTTGCTACAGTGCCTGGCAGAGAAACATCTAGCTACATTTGCTGTTTATTGTAAAGGATACAGATAAGCAGTCTGATGAAGAAATATACAAGGCAAGGTGTAAAGCGTGCAGGAGCACCTGTCTTCATGGAACTGAGTTATTACCCCACACACATAGCAAGCGATGTGTTCTCTTTCAGCTTTCTGTAAGCCTCTATGTGGTCAGCTGCCCTAGTCCTCTCCAGCCCC